GCATTCCTGACAAAATCAGCAGCTGTGCATCTATAGGCCTAGGGAGCAGGGAGATGAGGCCATGAGCTAGAACACAGGCCTCCCTCCTGCATTCATTAAACGTGTATTTATCAAAACCCCTACTTTGTGCCAGGCACAGTACCAGGAATATAATTTTGAAGGAGATAGATGTGACCCCTTTCCCTGTGGTGCTTGTGTTCTGGAAATTCTAGTGGACTTGAGAGCTGATAAGGGTACAGGGTTGGGGGTTTGTAAAGCCTTTCTGTGCTCATTGATGTGTGGAGGCCAGTTGCCACCAAGGAGCTTTCCCCTGATTTCTTCCTACCATGGATGAGGTAGAGTCTGAGTACAGTCAGCCCTCCGTGTCTGTAGGTTCTGCATCCACTGATACAGAGGGCTGACTGTACACTGTGTTCCAGCTCTAAAATCTGTGATTTCAAACATGGCCCCTTTCCCTTTCTGCCTCTCTGAACAAGCTTTGTGTGGGATCATAATTACCAGTCTTCGGCCCTTCTCAAGAAGTGGTAGAGCAAAATGATTTTCTACTTTGCTACATGTCATTTTTCTGAACACAGACCCTCCATAATGATAGAGAAAGAAAAAAGGAAATTTAATTCTAACATTCCCTTCAGGGTTTCAAAGCATTTTTACCCAGTCCTAGAAAGTTAGTTCTCTCTGACAGTGAAGGGGCCAGGAGCCAGCTGTTCCCGAACCTGTTTCTGCTTCACTCACCCTCCTTCTACTAGGCCCCGATTATCCACTGCTTAAAGAAACTTGTTTTCCAAGTTCTTTAATGTTTCAACTTCACCCACCTGACTACTACTTCAGTGCTGGCGAAACTGGTAGGTGGACCCTCCAGTCTTTAGTTATTTTTCTCTCCCAGGTCTCCCTCCCCATTTTACAGTACCAGCAAGCTGCACAAAAGGGCACTTGGAATTAGCATCTTGAGAAAATTAGGTTGATATAATGTTGATTTAAGTTTTTGAGCTCCAAATGATTTCTTTTAAACCCCTGCCTGGCAAAGGAACTCTGTCAAGCCGCTGGGAAGTCACAGCATCACTTTGGGCTTTTGAATGTTAAACGCCTCCAGCAGCTGGTATCTGGTTATTGTCTTTTGCTGTCAGGAAAATGAAGTAGGCATCAGGGTTGTCCCATTCAGGTCGAGGGTGGAGATGTTAGTTACATAGGAAAAGGCAGCTGTGTTTGTGATGCTTCAGGCAGCTTCTTGACTTGAATTGATTGATAGTGGCCATGGAGAATTACCCTTTCAGAGATGTTCTTCTGCACTACACTATAAAAAGTGATTTCTCTTCAGCTCCAAGTGTTTTCTTCTCTCTTTTCATCTCTGTTTTCCCCCAAGGACCAGAGTGACAGCCAAGCCCGGCAGGCTTGGTGTGTTTTTCAGGTGAGACACTCTAGAGCGCTCCCAGCAGAGCTGGGAGTGGTGGAAGCCCCAGGCACATGCCCAGGTTTGCCAGGGTCTCAGTGGCTCTTGGATCAGGCGAATTACAGAATAAGAGTGTGGAAAACCTGAAGCTTGGGAAAGTGTGAGGAGGTTGGAGGTGGGAAGCCAGAGGGAGGGTCTCTGAGGTTTTTCAGTGTGTTTCTGCTTCTGCAGGTTGTGGAAAAAGGAGAAAAGAGGCTAGGGTAGGGAAATAAAGAAATCATAAACAAGAATTGGAAGGGACAAGGGAAAGAAGGGAATTTAGATTCTTTGGGTATATGGAAGCATATTATAAACCAAAACCTTATGTGAGGGACTTGTGTGCTTGGGGTTATTGTTGAGGTAAGAAAACATTGGCTGTGAAGCGTAACAGGAGACAAAAACTTAACGTAGATCTTTAAGTTCCAGTGCTGTCTTAGAAGAAATTAGACAGCACTTACAAAGTGCCCGCTGCATGTGGAGCACAGTGCTAGGCATTGCAAAGACGAAAGGATGGAAGGGACCAGAGTTTTGACTCTTAAGGAGGTTGATCTAGTTGAATATAATGTTATCTTACGTTTGTTTAGTATTGTACAGTTTCTAAAGGTCTTTGACATATGGTACTTCATTTCATCCTCTAATAGCGTTAAAAAAGAACCTGCATTAGTCCCAGTTTACAGTTGAGGAAGCTCGAGCTTAAAGACTTAAGTTATGGACTTGCCTTTGACTGCACAGCCAGTAAATGGCAGAGGTGAGAATCCCAGATGTCCTTTCTATGAAAGGACCTTCTGGCTGTGGCCTGTGAGGGTATGACACATCTTGAAATCACAGAACAGATCATATTTATGCCCTCTTCTTGGAGGTGAGATGCTTTCATTGATTCATTCCCCTTCCTTCTCCCAGTCTTCCTTTGGGCCATCTGCTCACCCAGAGAGGCTGGAGCCTGGGGCTAGGACATGGCCAGTGGTGAGGAACAATGTTTTCACTCTTTCTAGCATGTGCAGGCCTTAAAATTGTGACCCCTGCCTCACTACCACGTTGCAGCCTGGGAAGTGCTGCGTAATATTCTCGGCAAATGCCATTAGGTCTTTCTTTGTGTGTGCAAATGAATATAATCCAAAAATATGAAAACTGATGGCTCAGGAACAAAAGTGTGCTAGGGTGGAGTGGCAGGGGTAGGGGAGAAAGAACTGATATATCTCAGCATGCTGAATGGGCTTGTCACAGGATGATGAAGTTTATTTTTAGCTAGTCTTTCTCCTGAGACTTTTTCACTGTTTTGATAAAGGTAGATAACCATCATCAGAGGCAAGGCCCTTGTCACCTAGAAAGTGACTGGATCGTGAGCATCAGTATTTCCATTTCTTTCTTATAACTGTTTCCCCTGAAGCTTTCTGATCTTTATCTAGCAGTTAACAGAGCTCTGGACAAGCACCCAGCCATGCCAAGCCTGTAGAGAGAGAAGGCTGAGCCGCCTTAGCCCCTTTCTTCTGGACGTTCATGAGGGTCCCCTGCAGTCACCCCCTCTAGAACTCACCCTCTTGTCACCAGTGCAGATGGTTTATCCTCTCTGCTGTGGAGGGTTGGGACAAGTAGAATTCATCATCTAGGGCCCAGGTGTGTAGAAGAGAAGTGTAAACACACAATCTAGGTCTGCACGCAGCATACATTTTATTTTATTTATTTGGCCGTGCCGCATGGCTTACGGGATTAAGTTCCCTGACCAGGGATCGAACCTGGGCCACAGCAGTGAAAACTGGGAATCCTAACCACTAGGCCACCATGGAACTTCCAACATTTTAGATTAAGAGTTAAAGCCACTCAAGTGGCCAAAACTATAATCCAATAAAAATACAAATGATTATTGTAATTTAGTTATTCCTTAGGTGGGTGGGTGCTCTGATGGCTGCCCGGAAGCTGCACACCATTGTCTCCTGTTCTCTCTACCTTGTCAGCTCCCAGTTATGCACCACCCAGGCCCTGGCTAGCAGAGGAGCAAAGGCAGGAGAGGGAGGGGTGCTAAAAAGGAGGGGACTCAATGCACTGTGTCTTGGATAGGGTCATGGAACAGAACAAGGGCTCTAGTGAGATCTGAATCAAGTCTGGACTTTAGTTAATAGTAATGTACCTGTGTCAGTTTGTTAGTTTTGACAAATGACAATGTAAGATGTTAATAAAACTGGGTGAAGGGTATATGCGAACTTTATTCTTGCAGCTTATCTATAAATCTAAAACTATTCCATGATAAAAAGTTAATTGGAAAAAAAGGGAGAGCCTCAGAGTAAGGGGAGAAGGGAAGCAGAGATTATGATCTGGAAAAATAGGCCTTGTGGCTGAGAGGGGGTGATGTGAGAGCCCCTCAGACTTTGGTTGGACAGGAAGGCCTGCATCTAATAATGGTCAGGCTGATGGGATTCTGATTTAGCTTTGCTGCGGACTGTCTGTGAACAAGTCGCTTTGTGTCTTGGGGTCTCTTTTCCCCATCTGTAATGTGGGGTTAGAACATCTATTCTGCTCAGTGGGACTCTTGTAAGGCAGGATATGGTGAGGAAAAATGCTGAGAAATAAAAAATGCACACTTAGATGCCCATTAAGATGTTTTTATTAGGAGTCTGAGCTAGGCCTGGTGGGTTGAAAGGCATCAGGGGTGTTTGAGGTGGGGATGGGCAAAAACTTTGGAGGGCAACGATCACAGAGGACACATTTCTGGGCGCTTGTGGCTCTGGCCACAGGAACTCTGCATTGTGCTTGCTGAAAGGCTTATTTTACTCCCCCTGCCTTCTCTTTCCTGCTCCCCATTTAGCCATCTTTTTTCCCTTCCTCCCCTGACTTCCACTTGCCTTTGCAGAAACCACTGGTGAAGGACCGGGAAGCTGAGCTTCTATACTTTGCTGACGTCTGTGCAGGCCCAGGTGGCTTCTCGGAGTATGTGCTGTGGAGGAAGAAGTGGCACGCAAAGGGCTTTGGAATGACTCTGAAGGGTCCTAACGATTTTAAGCTGGAAGACTTCTACTCGGCCTCCAGTGAGCTCTTCGAACCCTACTACGGTAGGGACGTGGAGGAGGGTAGCAGGGGCTATGAGAGGCAGTTCTCTTTGGAGACTGTAGGTCAGAAGTAGTTATTATCCACTTGCCATGTTTTCTTTCCCAGGTCTCCGAGTCTGGGGTTCCCAGCCAATGTCATGAAGGTCTCGGTTCCCTCTAGACTGTCCTTTTTTCCCCAGGCCTGTGGGTACAGGTTAAATACTCCACTAGGCAAACTCTCATCAGAGCCATATTAATTCCTCCTTTCTTCTCTTGTGGTGACAGGAGATAATGAAACTGCCTGATCTCCTGCTGAGAACTGGCAGGGTTATTAACACATACAAACCCACACCCATCTCCAGCCAGCTCAGCAGCCCTCCAGCAGTTCCCTCCACTCCGGCTCGCTTTTTGTGATTTGGCAGCAAATCCTAAGTCCTTTGTTAACAGTTCTTATTAAGAAATTGATATTGGTTCCTAAATGTAGGTGCTTTAAACACAACTTTGATCTTGAGTATGAAGACCTTCTGATTCAGTTGATGACTCTTGGCTGGTCAGCTCCTTCTGAACTCTGCTTTATTATAGCAGGGCACTGTTTTTGCCTCCTGTCCATCACTGCAAGGCAGCCTTGTACGATGGGTCCTTCAGTGAGTTGCCCCTCACAGGGGCTTTTCTCCTGGGCCTCGAGGTACACCTGGTACCTGTGTTCACAGCCCCAGAGAGCTTGTGTCCCAGCTCCAGGGATGCACAGGGCAGATGAGCTAAATGTGAATCTTGTGTCTTGTCAGGTGAGGGTGGGATCGATGGAGATGGAGACATCACCCGCCCGGAGAACATCACTGCTTTTCGGAATTTTGTCCTGGATAACACAGATCGCAAGGGTGTCCACTTTCTGATGGCTGATGGGGTAGGTGACCTGCTCTTCATAGGGTGATGCTTTAGGGATTTATCATGATAGAGGCTTGAGAATTGGTTTTGTTTGTTTTGGTTTGGTCCTTTAGCTGCCCTGGAAGGGCAGATGGTAGGGATGTGTGATGTATGTTTTTATTCTTTTTGTGCATCTTTTCAGTGGTAACTTTGTCAAGGCTGTGATGTTGTGGGCATCTTTGCTTGGAGCAAGTGGACCTTCTCAGCTCACTTCTTCAAAGGGCCTTGGTTGGCTATGAGACATGGTGAGAGGGGGGCCATGACTAAGATGAGCTAGGCAGAGCTGACCGGGAAGAACATTCCCGTCATTTGTCACCTGGGTGCTGCTCCTGGTAGGGGCTGTCTACACATGGCCGCTCCTAAGCCTCTGGATGGGCTAATAGGTGACCCCATAACCGAAGGCAGCAGCTCAAAGGAGTCCTCCGGGACTCCACAGGAGGCTCGGTATCGCTGGGCTAAAGTGAATATTCAAGTCGCCTGTTTCTTGGGCAGGTATTTGATGTATAGAGGCAAGTCCCCTGCAGCTTTCTCACCTAGTAATCTGATGCTGCAGGTAGTCTTTTCTGGAATGAGCCACAAATTAGTGTAGAGGAGGGTCAGAGAAGTCACAGTTGCTCCAGGGTCACATGGCCAGAGTTGAGAAGAGCCTCTGGAGCCCCTTGGGTAGCCTTTCAAGCAGTAGCCCTGTGGAGAGGTGAAGAAATGTTTAGGATATCAGCACAGGATCTGAACATGCACCTCGCTCACCAAAGCTTTGTGCACAGCAGGGGACAACAGATAGACAGGCTTGGGTGGAGGGGAGAGAGGGGCTGCTTCACCTGTGCTTGAGGGATCTGATAGTGCTTGGGAGGCAGGCAGCCTTGCAGTTTGTCAGCTAGAGTGACAAACTCAAGGATTGTCCTTCTGGCTTAGGCAGCTTAGACTGGTGACCTGTGTGGCTGATTTATTTGTTTGTCTGTTTCCCCTATAAACAGACATGCATTTTAAGAAGCATCTGTAAATCTGGAAGATGTTGCTAAACATTTTTGATTCTGGAGACCTGGCCAGGCTGGGCCCCGCTTAATGGAGGCCAGCCTCTTTACTTTTCTTAATTATTGTGATGAAAAACACATAACGTAAAATTTACCATTGCAACCGTTTTTAAGTTTACAGTTCAGTAGTGTTAAATATATTCACACTATTGTGAGACAGATCTCCAAAACTTTTTCATTTTGCAAAATTGAAACTCTGTACCCATTAAACAACAACTCCCCTCTCTTCCTATCACAGCCCCTGGCCTCCTTCACTTCTGTGTGAGCATGGCTGTCTGGGATCTCACAGAGAGGGAGACCACTCCAAGAATAGCAGTGTACGTTCTTTGAACAAACACCCTGGCCAGAGACACTGCCAGCTGGAGGGAGAGGCTCCATAGTCTTGGGACAGGAAAGGGGGTTTTGTGAATAAATCCTTGGTCCGCAGAGAAGGAGATTACTGTGACTGTCAGAGTTATGCTAACTTTTCTCCTGTCACCAGATTGGGGCCTGTTCGGTGGTCAGCCCACGACTGAGCGAGCCCATTGCAGAGTTTCAGGCCACATGTACTCCCTGGGTCTCACTGGATTCACCAGGGCATTTAGTTTCCTATCTTGTAGTTGGCCTGTGACTAGCGTATTTTGACTCTGTTCTGCCGTACTCTTCCCTTGGATTCCCACGTGACTTTTAAAATTTTCTGGACCATCTCCTCGGAGGAGCAGACTTGGTTCCATCCCCGGGAGTGATAGAGCAGGAAAACAGCACTGGCTCAGTAGTCAGGCCTGGGTCCCAGGTGCTGTCTTCACCACAGTGAGCCATGTGACCACGCCAAAGAATCTAAACACCAAGCTGTATCTTTGTCAGTCAGATGGTGGAGATCAATGAAAACACTTCAAGAAATCTCACAGAAGATGAGGTAGGGGTACTCTTTTCAGTCCTCATCACTTCTGTTTTCTACCCTGATCCTTGTGCTCTCATTTCAGGGTTTCTCAGTGGAGGGACAGGAGAACCTGCAGGAGATCCTCAGCAAACAGCTGCTGCTCTGTCAGTTCCTCATGGCGCTGTCCGTTGTCCGGACAGGTGACACTGCCTCTGCTGTCTCCCCACCCGGACCCACCTCTTAGAGGCCCTGTTGGACAAGAGCATGTATAGGGGTTGGCTTGGAAGTTAAAAAACAATCTGCTTATATTAGGTGACAGGTGGCTGAATGAGGAATTTAGGGGAAAAAGTGCCATAGCATCCCCAAAGTCCCCTCTAAAACTGAGTCTTTCCCTTATATTGCCTGTGACTTTAATGGACCCAGCTGCTGGGTCCCTGACTTCGTCATACTCCCTGAGACTGCCTTACCCACCTTGTGTGATGGAAGCTGCTGACTGCTACTGGTGTTTTCTCTCTCATCTAGGAGGCCACTTCATCTGTAAAACCTTTGACCTCTTCACACCTTTCAGTGTGGGGCTCATCTACCTGCTGTACTGCTGCTTTGAACGAGTATGTCTCTTTAAGCCGATCACCAGCCGTCCTGCCAACTCAGAGAGGTGAGGCTTTCCTCTCCATTTTAATCAGACTAGTTGGCTAAATGTCAGAACAGCAAATCCTGGTGCATCTCTGGCATGACCACTCAAGCTACATTAAAAACCTTGACTTAAAAAAAGTGATTGGAGCCAAGAGGAGTCAGGATTTGGATTTTAATTGTTCTTCAATGTACCCGTCAGCCTCTGCCTCCTTTTCCACAAACCTTATTCACCACACTTACGTGGGCAACCCTTGGCTTGGCCCGGGAGGGAGGAGGAGACCAATAGAACGGTCACCTGGAGGGACTAAGTGGGCCACTAACCAGAGTCACTGTTGGCATCCCAGGTGGGACACAGTGTCCATACACAATGTGAGAGAAGATGTGGTCAATCTGAATTTCTAAGTGGCTTGTTAAAAACACAGATTTCTGGGCCCTGTCCCTGGAGAGTCTGATTGTCTTTAACTTAACAGACTTCCCAGGTGACGGTGATGCAGCCAACCTGGCACAGGGCAGTTGGGAACCACAGCCATAGAGAGTAGAAATATAGCCCAACATAAAAAGAAAGGATTTGAGGTGAACGTTGCAACACAAAGACTGTGCTGTTCTTTGTGCATAGACAAGAGCTTCATGACTCAGCAAGGGGACTGGGGAAGGGAAAAGTGAGGGAAGCCCTTGCTCAGTGGAGTGACAGGGTATCTCCTGCCAGGTATGTGGTGTGCAAGGGCCTGAAGGTGGGCATCGATGACGTGCGGGATTACCTCTTCTCAGTCAATATTAAACTCAACCAGCTGCGGAACACCGATTCCGACGTCAACCTCGTGGTCCCCTTGGAGGTGATCAAGGGAGACCATGAATTTACTGACTACGTGATACGGTCCAATGAAAGGTAAGCAAACCAATGTGCTTTTTTTCTTTGTTTCTTTTTTTTTGCTGGCACCACTAGGCTATCAAGAAAGACCAGAGAATGAAGGACTGAATGACCAGCTCTTGGTATCACTTTGTTAATTTTGAAAAATTGGTAACTGGGATTGGTCTGCTCATTCCAGGGCTTTGTGCACAGTCCCAGGGCTCCCTGGGACTTTGGGTACCTTGAGGACTTTCATCCTGCTCCCATGCCCTGTCACAAGGGTGGCCAGTGGGAGCCTGGCTGGCATACCCCTGCCCATGGGAGCCTGAGTATGATAGTGAAACCTGACAGAGAGCAGACTTGTTCTGTGTCCTCAGAGGAAGGAGTAATTTCCCTTTAATTGCTTCCATTTGTAAAAGGCCATCATAGTTTGTTGCCCTGTGAAGTCCCCTGGTTGGAAGCAAGAGACGGCTGGAAAGCAAGTATATAACATGCTTTGGAAATTTCTGTTACCAAAGCTTTTGCCAGTCCATGAGTTCCCCAAATAGGCCATGTGAATGCTGGTTTTTGTGTTTTTTTTAACCTTCATTAATTGTTTTCCCGCTTCCCCGTTAGTGGTGATAATTTAAAGTTGTGACAGTTGGCTCAGTTTGCTAAGTGGGCAAGCCTTATTGAACAGTTTTCTAGATAGGTTGGAGAGTTGTATAGTGGCAATGAATCAATAGACGTGCTTTCTTAGGGGAGCCAAACAGGTGTTGTAAAGGTCATTTCTAAGAGTACAATCCCAAGTCTCCCAGAGAAGTTCCTTCCATGTCCTGGGTATTGTAAATAGAGCTGCAATGAACATTGTGGTACATGACTTTTTGAATTATGGTTTTCTCAGGGTATATGCCCAGTAGGGGGATTGCTGGGTCATATGATAGTTCTATTTTTAGTTTTTAAAGGAACCTCCATACTGTTCTCCATAGTGGCTGTATCAATTTACATTCCCACCAACAGCGCAAGAGGGTTCCCTTTTCTCCACACCCTCTCCAGCATTTATTGTTTGTAGATTTTTTGATTATGGACATTCTGACTGGTGTGAGGTGATACCTCATTGTAGTTTTGATTTGCATTTCTCTAATGATGTTGAGCATCCTTTCATGAGTTTGTTGGCAATCTGTATATCTTCTTTGGAGAAACGTCTATTTAGGTCTTCTGCCCATTTTTGGATTGGGTTGTTTTGGTTTTTTTGATATTGATCTGTATGAGCTGCTTGTAAATTTTGGAGATTAATCCTTTGTCAGTTGCTTCATTTGCAAATATTTTCTCCCGTTCTGAGGGTTGTCTTTTCATCTTATTTATGGTTTCCTTTGCTGTGCAGAAGCTTTTAAGTTTCATTAGATCCCATTTGTTTATTTTTTTTCTTATTTCCATTTCTCTAGGGGGTGGGTCAGAAAGGACCTTGCTGTGATTTATGTCATAGAGTGTTCTGCCTATGTTTTCCTCTAAGAGTTTTATAGTGTCTGGCCTTACATTTATGTCTTTAATCCATTTTGAGTTTATTTTTGTGTATGGTGTTAGAGAGTGTTCTAATTTCATTCTTTTACATGTAGCTGTCCAGTTTTCCCAGCACCACTTATTGAAGAGGCTGTCTTTTGTCCATTGTATATTCTTGCCTCCCTTATCAAAAATAAGGTGACCATATGTGCATGGGTTTATCTCTGGGCTTTCTAGCCTGTTCCATTGATCTATATTTCTGTTTTTGTGCCACTACCATACTGTCTTTTTTTTTTTTTTTAATTTGTTTTTGGCTGGGTTGGGTCTTCGTTGCTATGCGCAGGCTTTCTCTGGTTTCAGCGAGCAGGGGCTACTCTTCATTGCCGTGCGCGGGCTTCTCATTGCGGTGGCTTCTCTTGTTGTGGAGCATGGGCTCTAGGCACGTGGGCTTCAGTAGTTGTAGCACGTGGGCTCAGTAGTTGTGGCTGTGGCCTCTAGAGCACAGGCTCAGTAGTTATGGTGCACGGGCTTAGTTGCTCCGTGGCATGTGGGATCTTCCTGGACCAGGGCTCAAACCCGTGTCCCCTGCATTGGGAGGTGGATTCTTAACAACTGTGCCACGAGGGAAGTCCCATACTGTCTTGATTACTGTAGCTTTGTAGTACAGTCTGAAGTCTGGGAGCCTGATTCCTCCAGCTCCGTTTTTCTTTCTCAAGATTGCTTTGGCTACTCGGGGTCTTTTGTGTTTCCATACAAATTGTGAAATTTTTTGTTCTAGTTCTGTGAAAAATGCCAGTGGTAGTTTGATAGGGATTGCATTGAATCTGTAGATTGCTTTGGGTAGTAGAGTCATTTTCACAATGTTGATTCTTCCAATCCAAGAACATGGTATATCTCTCCATCTATTTGTATCATCTTTAATTTCTTTCATCAGTGTCTTATAATTTTCTGCATACAGGTCTTTTGTCTCCTTAGGTAGGTTTATTCCTAGATATTTTATTCTTTTTGTTGCAATGGTAAATGGGAGTGTTTTCTTGATTTCACTTTCAGATTTTTCATCGTTAGTATATAGGAATGCCAGAGATTTCTGTGCATTAATTTTGTATCCTGCTACTTTACCAAATTCATTGATTAGCTCTAGTAGTTTTCTGGTAGCATCTTTAGGATTCTCTATGTATAGTATCATGTCATCTGCAAACAGTGACAGCTTTACTTCTTCTTTTCCGATTTGGATTCCTTTTATTCCTTTTTCTTCTCCGATTGCTGTGGCTAAATCTTCCAAAACTATGTTGAATAATTGGACTTCTTTTTGTTGAGCCACGCTGACATCTGATACGGGTGTGTGTGGACACATGGCAAAACTGGACTTCTCAATGCTCCCAGCTGCACAGAGTGTTTAAGCAACCTGTAAATTGATTTGCATTTTTATTAAGTTGTAGGAATTATTAATATATTCTGAATGCAAATCTGGTGTGTTGTGAATATCTTTCCCCAGTCTGTGGTTTGCCTATTCATTTTCTTAATGGTGTCTTTTGATAAGCAGAAGTTAAAAAATTTTTTGAGTCCTTTTTTTTTTTTTTCAGGGAACAGAAAGGAGGGCCCCTCACTGTTGTGGCCTCTCCCGTTGCGGAGCACAGGCTCTGGACACGCAGGCCCAGCGGCCATGGCTCATGGGCCTAGCAGCTCTGCGGCATGTGGGATCCTCCTGGACCGGGGCACGAACCTGTGTCCCCTGCATCAGCAGGTGGACTCTCAACCACTGTGCCACCAGGGAAGCCCTGAGTCCTTTTTTTAATTGTAAAATATACATAACAGGTGGCTTCCCTGGTGTCACAGTGGTTAAGAATCTGCCTGCCAATGCAGGGGACACAGGTTTGAGCCCTGGCCCGGGAAGATCCCACATGCCGTGCAACAACTAAGCCCATGCACCACAACTACTGAGCCTGAGCTCTAGAGCCCACAAGCCACAACTGCTGAGCCCACGTGCCACAACTACTGAAGCCTGCGTGCCTAGAGCCCATGCTCTGCAACAAGAGAAGCCACAACAATGAGAAGCTCGCACACCGCAATGAAGAGTAGCTGCTGCTCACCGCAACTAGAGAAAGCCCGTGCACAGCAATGAAGACCCAACACAGCCAAAAATAAATAAATAAATTAATTGATTAATTTTTTAAAATATATACATAACATAAAGTTTATCATTTTAACCCTTTTTAAAATGTATAATTCAGTGGCATTAAGTATATTCACACTGTTGTGCAACCATCACCACGATGCATTTCCAGAACTTTTTTTTTTTTTTGTGGTACGCGGGCCTCTCACTGGCGTGGCCTCTCCCGTTGCGGAGCACGCGCAGGCTCAGCGGTCATGGCTCACGGGCCCAGCCGCTCCGCGGCACGTGGGATCTTCCCGGACCGGGGCACGAACCCGTGTCCCCTACATCAGCAGGCGGACTCTCAACCACTGCGCCACCAGGGAAGCCCATTTCCAGAACTATTTAACCATCCAAAGCAGAAACTCTCTACCTATGAAACAGTAACTCCCATTCCCCTTATCCCCAACCATTGGTACCCTCTGTTATTTTCTATCTCTATGAATTTGCTATTGCAGGTACCTCATATAAGTGCATTCATACAATAATTGTCGTTTTGTGTCTGGCTATTTCACTTAGCATAATGTTTGCAAGATTGATCATGTTGTAGCATGTGTCAGGATTTCATTCCTTTTTAAAGGCTAATGTACATTGTATGTACATACCACATTTTGTTTATCCATTCAGCTGTTGATGGACATTTGGGTTTTCCCCACATTTTAGCTATCGAGAGTAGTACTGCCATGAATATTGGTGTGCAAAGTAACTGTTTGTGTCCCTGCTTTCAGTTTGTCTGGGTATAGCTATGTAAGTGGGATTGCTGCACCATTTTACATTCTCACCAGCCATGCACCAGTGTTCCAATTTCTTCATATCTTCTCCAACACTTCAGCCACCTAATGGGTCTGAACTGGTCATTGTAGTTTTGGTTTGCATTTCCCTAATGAGTAATGATGTTGAGTATGTTTTCATATGCAAATTGGCCATTTGTATATCTTCTTTGGAGAAATGTCTATTCAAGTCCTTTGCCCATTTTTATTTTTAAAATTTTATTTTTTATTGAAGTATAATTGACTTATGATATCATATTAGTTTTAGGTGTACAACATAGTGATTTGATATTTTTATACATTACAAAATGTTCACTGAAGTCTAGTTACCATAAAAAGTTATTATATTATTTACTATATTCTCTATGCTGTACATTGCATCTTGTGACTTATTTATTTTATAACTGGAAGTTTGTACCTCTTAATCTCCCTCTCTGATTTTACTCATCCCCCCCCCCACTCCCTCCCCTCTAGCAACCACCAGTTTGTTTTCTGTATCTATGAGTCTATTGCTGTTCTGTTCTGTTTGTTCATTTGTTTTTTTTTTTAATTCCACATAATTGAAGTCATACAGTATTTATCTTTCTCTGACTTATTTTACTTAGCATAATACTCTCTAGGTCCATGCATGTTGTTGC